TTAACTTACAAATTTAATGAACCAGAAATTTTGTATTAAAACATTAAACTGTAAAGAGTTTAATAAATATAATATGCTAGCATTAAAAATGGCTTCTTTGACCTTTGATAAATTGTGTTGGTAGAAATTCCATGGCAGTCTCTGAGAACATGAAAAAAAACAATTGTGCTAAAAAAAATGAAGAAATATCATTATTTAGTGACGTACTGAAATGCTTTGATTTCGTCTTGAATAATGCTGCAAATCATTTTTGAGTTTTGTTTCTAAAAAATCTAACACCGGTCTTGGGACTCGATACTGCTCTTGAAAACTAAACTAAAATATTAAATTAAAAAAAAATTACTATAAAATTACGAATAAGCAAAACAATCTTTCAAAGAAAAGTTCACGCGTTTTAAGCTTTCTAGATGTGCTTAGTTGTTCGATCGAAAAACTTATAACTCTCTTCCGATCAACTAGACATGAAAGCTATTAAGTTTTAAACAACAATGTTTTATACGCAAACCTCTCGAGTCAATCGGTGGTGAAGCTCATTTTCAGCAACTTCTAAATCTATATCTTCATCAGAAAAAATTAAATCCATTTAAAATTGTAAGTTTAGATACAGTTTTTTAAAAACCAAATACTAAAATGTTGAAAACTGTCTTGACATAGAATTGATAGAGTTCGCATAACAATTAATAAAAAAATCGTAGTTGTGAGTGACGTATTATTTCCTTATGTTTTATAGCAATAGTCAAAAAAAATCAAAGAACGAGAAAAATTTCGTGTTTACACATTTTTTTTCGTAAAACATTTTTTTTCGTAAAATAATTTACTTAAAAAATTTCGTTTTTACGAAAGATTTTTTTTCCCCATAAAATCTTTGAATTGTTTATAGCATTGGCCCCGTGTTGTATTTCTGAATTAAAATTATGATCATATTGTCCAAAACAGTCCGAAAAAAAAAAAAAAATTCAATTTTTTTAAAGTATTATAACTTTTTTAAAAGTATATATAACTTTTTGGCTGATAATGAAGTATTTTATCGGACAAATGTTAAATTAAAATCAGAAATTCAGAACACCATAAATGGGCTAGAAACACAGTGAAAATGAAGATTATGAAGATGATTAGGGCATTAATGTCTATCAAAAGCGAAGTTACAAAAAGTCTAGATTTTGAAGAAATTCTAAATTAATTTATGTATGAAAAATCAAGGGAAAAAATATACTTATTTGTATACATGTAAGTTTTAACTGTCTAAATTTATTTCATACTTTCTTAAATGTTTCTTCTAACCACAGAAGTACTCAAAACTTTAGTTAAGTGAACTTACATATGAATCTCTAACTTAAAAAAGAGGGCATGTCCTGCAAAAATTCACATAACATGTCCCCTTTTTCAAGTTAAGCTAACTTGTTTTAATAAAAAGTAACATTACCATGGAAAATTAAATTCTAGTTCAAACTTTTGAAATGTATAAAAATGTTAAATGTGCATAAATATAATTAAGCAGAATATATGAATCGCTAACAGTTAGAATATATGCAATAAATGTAATTAATAATGAATATATATAATAAATATAATTAAGCAGAATATATGAATCACTAACAGTTAGCGATTCATATATGCTTAGTTATATTTAATGCTCATTTAATATTTTTATACATTTCAAAAGTTTAAATTAGAATTTAATTTTCAATGGTAATGTTATTTTTTATTAAAACAAATTATTGCCATTATTTATGAATTATTGCTCTGAGATATTTTTAAAAACTTTATTTTTTTTTTTGATTCATTTCTACTAAATAACTAAAAGTTAAGTAGTTTTAAACTTATATTCATTTATTTCCAAAAAGTTATTTAAATTGTAAAACTTCAATTTTTTTGATTACATTTTACAGTATGATAATAAGAGTGCTTGAAGTGAAACCCGTGCTATTTTAAAAATATGTAAAGAAAAACAATTCTTTTTTAAATGTGTTTTTTCTGAAATAAAATATTTTAAATTAAAGAATTTTTTTTTCTAAATGTAAAATATGGTGGCTGCAACGTCTGATTTCGTTAGCTATCAACCTGGGTTAATTTCTAGACCAACTAGTGATAGGTCCTCTCAAACTTTCATCCCTATAAATAAGGACACATTTATTTGTTCACATAATTTTTTGAAAATTATGTGAATGAATAAATGTGTTCTAAAGTTGTGCACTTCTTTATAATAAATGAATAAACTGCCGAACAATGGATCAAGGAGTTTTTGGTGGCTAAAGACTCTGCCACTTTCGCCTACCCCTCCCCGAAACCTTTCATTAAGGTCCCGAAGTCTTAAAAACCTATAATTATGCACAGTCAATTACAAGCGGTTTGTTTTTGAGCGCATGTTCAAAAAGTTCATGAGAAATTTCAGAGGTTTTAAAACGGCTGTGGATCTTACCAACACAATCTTTTTTATATAGCAACTTTTTTTTAATTTTGGTTTTATAAAAATTAATGCTGCAACTTATTTTTTAAATTCGTGAGGAATGGAGTATTTGGACCAAAAATTATTTGTAGTATTCATTAGATTTGCAGCATTTTTAGAGAAATATCAATGTTTCCTTAATGTGCTATTAGTAAGATTTTTTTTTTTTTCATTTGTGATTTTATATATTTATTAGATAAAATGTAATAGTGTTTCAAAATCACAAATCCTTTTTTAAGTGAGAAGGTATTTTCAAAACTGCCATGTCCTCTAATGGGTTATTCTATAAGTTTTGTCTGCTTTATAAAGTTGTATGTTTTTTTTATTATTGTTATTTAATTTAGATTGTTGGCAACATAGCTCACGTATTAAAGTCTTCTGGCACAGTTGACTCAGCAAGAATGAAGACATTGATACACTTTTGCATTATGGAATACACAAGTTGGCAGTTCCTTGCCTACTATCACCCAAATACAGGTTAGTATGCATGCATACACAACCCTCAAAATTAGTAAAACTAAAGTGAGTAATAAATTTTCGAAATTAAACTGTTTTAGGTTGGCATCAGATTACAATCGGCAAACATAAAGCCATTTTTACAAAGGTTTTACTATAAAAGATAAAAACGAGGTCAGCAAAAAATTGCCAAACTCAGGCATTTTTATGTTTTTGCTTTACTGTTACTGTTCCTAAGTGCTCCAAAAACTCTTTCTTTGTCTAGTTTTTTTCCTCAAACATCAGTTCTTTGGAGTTCACTTCCTCCATCTTGCTTTCCTGATTCATATAACTTGCAATATTTTAAGTCGTCTGTCAACTGTTATCTTGCTCAACAATCTTCATCTTTTCTCTTCCAGTAACTTCCAACACTAATCAGTGGTTGCTTGCAGCCTTGTTGGAAACAAAGGTGTTAAAAAAAAAAAAAGTACTTGCTGCAATTACTTTCAAAAGACTAAAACTGGACATAATAATTTAGAAAAAGATATAAGTATGTATGATTTTTTGAAAACACTTAAATATATATATATATATATATATATATATATATATATATATATATATATATATATATATATATATATATATATATATATATATATATATATATATATATATATATATATATATATATATATATATATATATATATATATATATATATATATATATATATATATATATATCAGAGTTGTAACCACCGGTTACAAAAATAGTTTTTCGGGGGAACCTAGGCCCCCCTTAAAATTATTAAACTTTATTTATTTTACAAATATTTTATCTCCTCCCTCCTTTAAAAGAACTATAGGCTATAGTTCTTGAAGTTGGGGGCTTTTCTCATCCTATGTTTGGGCTTCTCCTTTTCTCTGGGCCCTTAAAATGGGTACCTAAAAAAAAAAAAAAAACCTCAATATGGAGTTAAGCCCCCCTGATATTAAAATTGTAGTGAATGCTCTGATATATATATAGATATAGATATAGATATATATATAGATATAGATATATATATATATATATATATATATATATATATATATATATATATATATATATATATATATATATATATATATATATATATATATATATATATATATATACATATATATATATATATATATATATATATATATATATATATATATATATATATATATATATATATATACATATATAAATTTTGAGTTAGTAAAATTTATTTTCAGATTTAAAAAATCCTTATCTGTACGTTATAGAAGACGATGGAGACGAAGTGATTATTATGTGTGGCAAAAGATTATTTTATGAAATTTTTCATTTTCTGACTTAGTGATGGAACTTATTGGAATACACTTGTCATAATTTTATTTTTATTTAAAATAAAATTCTATTTTTTTGAAACAAAAAAATAAAATTTTATTTTAAATAAAAATAAAATTGAAACAAGTAAAAAATGATTTTTTTTAAGGAATATAAATTCTTGAAACAAGAAAAAAATATATAATTTTAAGAATATAAGTTCTTGAAATAAGAAAAAAAAATCTTATTTGAAGAAAATAAATTCTTGAAACAAAAAAAAAAAAGTGCTTGTTTCAAGAATAAAAATTCTTGAATCAAAAACAAAATTTTTGTTTTAAGAAAAAAAGTTCTTAAAACAAGAAAAAAAATTCTTATTTTAGGAATAAAAATTCTTGAAACAAGAAAAAATATTCTTACGTGGCGGACAAGTAATTTTTTTCTTGTTTTAAGACTTTTTTTGCTTAAAACAAGAATTTTGGATTTTGCTGTTAAAAAGTATTATATTAAAACTTTTAAAAACAGTACTAATTATTAAGGCTGTAAAGTACCCGTTGCTAAGCATATCTATACCGTTGCTAGGGTATTATTTAATAAAAAATTGGCAAAATAAGACTACTTCTAGGACTTCTGTAGGCCTTTTATCACCCGAGCACAAGGATTTATTTTTCAGATGTTGGAAGATGCATGTTTAAGAAAACTAAATAACTTATACTATCAAGAGCAGACCAGGCCACGGTTGTTATGGGAAATCTATTAAAGCGCGTTGAACGCAAAAAGTGATTTTTGGCAGGTTACTCCTTCCCAGGTCCTTGCATGCACATGATTTTTGTTCCCTAAAATCAATGTATGTCTTTCGTTTTTCAAAGTCACCGAAGAAAACTAAGTGCAAGTATTGGCCTTCAGAGATATAAGAGCTCAAAATTAGGGTAAAATTTCAAATTTTGTGGTTTCGGACAATGATTTCTTGACAACCAAAACTATAACCATATTTACTGTGTAAACTAGATTAACATAAAAATGGCTAAAAGGGCTCTTAATGACGTAAAGCATGTTTTAACTTACGTTACACTTATTTAAAATAAAAATGTGCTCTAACTTAGCATCGTTATTCATTATAAATAACATTTAATAATCTTTTGCATATATTATTAAACAACTTAAGTTTCTTAACTAAATATTATGAAAAACTTAATCATGTTTTTATTAACTTACATTACATGAAAATTGCAAAAATTCATTAGTTATTTTCTTAAAATATAAATATTTTATAAAGTATAAAATCTGGCCAACAACAATTTGAATATGTTAGCTTCATTTTCACGTTAATTTAATTTCGATTGTGCAACTATATTCATGGTTAGAATCAGGAGTGTGGAGTCGTAAAAAAAAAGTAACGACTCCGACTCCGACTCCAGTTGTTGAAATTTTTTGAGTACAACTCCGACTCCAACTCCGACTCCGACTCCAACTTCAAAGCAAAATTTTTGAAAAATTCTTGGAATTCTTTGAAAAATATTGCGCAATAAAGTTGAAATTTTTTTTTTGACAAATTTATGCAACGTTCTTTGAGGTTTAGTATGAACATAGAGTTAATTTAATTTTATTGTACATAGACGTGCGATACCAAGAAATATTACTATTGGAGTCGGAGTCGCGATATTTTTTTGCAACTCCGACTCCGACTCCAACTCCGCTAAAATTGTTGCAACTCCGACACCGACTCCGACTCCACAGCCCTGGTTAGAATAACATTTTCTATGATATCTTTTACCATGCGACAATGAGAAAAACCGTAACTTTCAGAGGCATAAAAATAACAAAAAAAAAATTAATTTTAGTACTTAAGATATATTTAAAATAACCTTTCATGTGTCTGCTTCAATATTCATTTCCTAAAAGTTGACGAAAAAGATAATGAAATTTGACTATATTTTCATTATATATATATATATATATATATATATATATATATATATATATATATATATATATATATATATATATATATATATATATATATATGCAAATACCATTTTCCATAAAAACATGCTATAAATTTTGCCATAATATTTATTTCTTCTGAAAGTTTTTTTTTCTTTATGAATAAATTTAATTTGATTAGAAAGAAGTTGCAATTTTACATAATATATGGTTTTTCGGAGAAACCTTGCATGGTGGACAGCTCTTGGTTTCCTAATTTTTACTCCTTCAGAAGGCAAATAAACAACAATTAGCTCAGCTAGTTCTTTTCTATCGCTTTTTAAAACTTTTCCACTTTTAATATATTCTTTGCAAAAATTTATAGACTCAACTGCAGCACATTTGATAACAGTTCCATTTGTCACATCCTAATGAAATCTTGTAACATTATTACCATTATGAAAACCAGGAGTTTCAAATTTGTCTTTAAGTTTTTTAGATAAAAGATTCTCTGATCCAGATATTTTTCTCAATTAGTCTGGGATTGTCCTGCATTAGCTAGCCGCAGTTTTGCCATCACTGGCTAGCCACGGCTAGTCCATGGAAAATCCTTAGAGCAAAATGGAGCTTCGCCAAAGTTGACAGCCGTAACTGGTCCAGAGCGGCAGCCTACGCAGGACCTGTGCGGGAGCATTATATCCTAGCTGTCTGTGAAGATATGTTTTTATCTATCAATATTCCAAGTGCTATAAAAGTGTTTTTTTTTATTTTGTATATCATTTATAAAGAGATTGATTAGTTTAAATTGCACGGTTTTTTTTTAGTGTTTAATGCAATTATATGATAATGCCTTAAAAACATTATAATGGCAACCTAGCGATGATTCATCATACGAAACCATTTTTTGAGTTGAATAAAATTTTATAGTGTTACGTAACAATGACGTCATTGTTTTGAAAACTTTAGTTAAGCTCTGTAATACTAAATGAGCTATAATAATACCTAATATTAAACAAAGTATATTTTAGTAAATAAACAAAAAGTTGTATATATATATATATATATATATATATATATGACTATTTATTCGATTAAATGTAAAAAATATATGATTATAACTATATATATGATTATAAGTAAAAAACGTTTCGGTAGATAAAAACATAAAAATTGTTAAAAAATTTAGTTTCGTCAAACAAGTGATCAATTACCATAAGTTGTCATAGGCAACATTTCTTGATTTACCAAAAGGAATTAATAGTGTAGCAGAGCTGACAGAATTAGTTTAGTGTAGCAGAGCTGACTTCTTTGAAAGAGGAGTAAAACAAAAAGATTTTGTTTTGAATAAAAAAAGTTATTTTTGTCAAAACACGTGTTATATATTTTAAAAATGCATAAAATTTGAGTAATGTTTTGATTTATTAATTTAAACAATTTTTTTTTTAATCAGAATCATCATTTTACTTTTAGAAAGACAATTAGAAAGATGACAGCTATGATTTTTGTGTTGCAAAAATTGGTTTTTTATTATATATTTTCCTGTAAGTTGAAATATTAATTTTTTATTATCTATTTAGATTTATGTTGTTTTTATTTAAAAATTTTTACTATGAATATTTTTGTTATATTTTAAGTATTTTTATAAAAATTCATTTAAGCATGCATTTTATGAATTTCTAAGGTTTTTTTTTTTTTTTTAATGAAAAATCAAAGTTAACAAAAGTAATTTTAAAGTAGCCACGGCAATCTTTCGACTTGATAACTATATTTTTAAGAATACGTTTTATCATAGGATCTTAAATTATAAAGTTTACTTGTTCCATGTTTATCAATTATCATTTTGATTTAGTTTAATCTGATATCAGTTTTATATAGAGTAATCCACTAAAAATTAGGAAAAGATAGCTGACGAAAATAATGTTAAAACTTATCTCTCGCAAGAATGGTCAATCTTTGTTTCAAAATATCGTTCATTCTAAGAAAAGGTTATGAAAAATAAAACAAAAAAAAAGAAAAAAAAGCATTTTCTTTTTTCTTTTCTTTTTTTGTTTTATTTTTCATAACTTTTTTCTTAGATTGAACGATATTTCCTTTTTTTTTTAATATTTGAAATTTTGAAAAATTTTTCAGCACGAAAACAATTGCTTTTGAAATAGGTTGTAGTAATTTTATTACTGAATTATTGCTTGGTTTTGAACAGAGCGATTTTTTGTATGGATTTTACATTTTAAACAAGCCTGTAGGCCGGATGAATAAAAAAAAGCAATTAATTTTACCAAGGAGGTATAATAGAATGGAGGGAGAACGAAGTTAAATTACGTCATTTCTCAAGGAACAGTCTTAGAGATTGCCGATAAATTACGCAATGCAAAACTTACTAGTAGAAAATCATTTTGCTCTTTTGCGCGGCGGTTTTCGGTGGATCGGAAAAGTTGTTTATATACTTGATTTAATTAAAGACTATGCGAGGAAAAACCTTTAATCCATTGACTTTTGTCTTAAAGTTTACCTAAATTAATGGAGTAGTAAGATAATATTTTATTAAACACAGCGTAATTATCATAATTTAAAGTTAACCAATCACATTCCATTTTTAACAAATATATAAAAAATACGTTATGAAACAATATCATTTTTGAATGATATTGTTACATAACGTTGTAAGCAATGTAAGAATTGCATATAAAAATGGAAGTTTAAAAATTCGTAAACAATATTTATAGTTAGGTGTTTGTTTTTTTTTTATGATGAGATTTTTGAGCGACTAATTATAAATTTCTAGATTAGAATTTAATTAATAAATGTCTAGATAAGAACAAAAAATACTATATTTTTGCTGGATTTACAAAAACCTGAAGAAAAAATATAAATTTCATGAAGTCATCTTATTATCATTAAGAATAAGAAGAAAGTTAAACAGAAATACCTTAAGCAGCTTGTTCTTGTTCAGAACCAATCACTTTGTAGCATTTTTGACCTGAAATGTCACGTTCCTTATCCCCTCTACCGAAGATGTGTTATATATCTATATGTTTAACTACGATCCAAAAAGTAAAGCCGCTTTTTGCCCTTTTTACAGATCCTTTTGACGGATTAAATTTGTAAACAATTATTTTTAACTTTTCTTTTTTTAAATGAAGTAAATATATTTTAAATTTAAATACAATTTACGTAAAAGTGTTAAGCGGAATTTATAATACTCGTAAAATAATAATTTATGGTTCTTTAATTAATTTTTCATTAAAAAGGGATTGATGTTTTAAATAGAAAGTAAAACGACAGACGTTTTTGAAGCATTCTTCTGAATTAAAATACTTTTAAATAAACATAGGCTCATAAAAAACTTTTATAAGTTTTTTATGATTATTAAAATTTGTTTTTGAATTATCTTTAATTTCTTAAGAACTTTTGAGTTGCATTTTTAACTTCTATTCCACACTTCGGCTTCAGTTTTTGTCATTTTTACAAATGGCGGACTATTGTTATAAACAAAAAAAAGCGACTTCATTTTATATCTAATAAAATCCCACAAGTTTGACATATAGTTACATAATATATCATTGCCTCTACCACTTCGGAAAGTTGTGACACGTGACAGGACTTGATAAAAGTGAACCAAAAGTAGAAAAATGTTAGTATCTTGTAAATACACAATACATATTTTATATGGGTTGTTTTTTGCTTGTCTATGACATGCAGAATTACCACAGTGTCAGCCTCTTCGTGATTATAATTCATCATTTCTGCAGACAGATATTGCACATTTGCTTCTGTTGTGTTTGAACATATTACAATGAAGCAAACTGTACTACCTATATTATTTTTAGTATATTTAGCAAGGTATTTGGTAAGAGTTTGCTTGGTTTCAATGAGCCCCAATAACTGCTTTAGTAACTAACTAAAAATAATAGAGTTATCAGTTACGTTGTACTTGATTTAATTACCAGGGGTACGTTTTTTTCTTGTTCTAGACTTTAGTGACTGTTCCATCTACCAATCTTATCTTGATGCAGTTTTCACTTGCATACTTTTGAAGCGTGCAAATGAGTTTTGCAGCAAAGTACTGATTAATAAAACAAATATGAGTATTGCTCTTAGTCATACATATGTTAACTTAGCAATTTTACATACACAGTTATTACAGTGAACAATAGATGTGATATGATTGAATTAAAATGCTACCGCAGACAATAAATGACATAAGTGTTTCTTTCCAAGTTTTAATACCATTATCCTTATGATGTTTTTTGAACAATATCACAATAATGATAGTTGATATATTTCCAGTCATTTCTTCTTTTTGTGTGGTAATCTTTAATCTGCATGAAGTAGAAGACTTTTGACTTGTCTTCTACTTTATGCAGAATTTTTTCTTTATCAGAGGTGAGAATCTTGAGTAAATATCAAATTTGGTATAACTGAAAACTCATAGTTACCGATACTTTTTTCTAAATGAAGCTCTGGTCGTTTTCTTGCTCTAAATAGAAAACAAGATAATAAGGTGCGCTCTTCTTTTAGTTAATCTAATTTACTACCAATCATTGTTTTTGCAACTTTGACCTTATTTTCGAATGTTTTCAGATTTTTTTATCTTCATTGGCAGCCATGTAGATATGCCTCTGGTCACCTTTTAGAAACAAAAGATTAATGGAGCTCTTTTCCGAATTTTCAATGATGAACTAGTTCATCTGCAACTTCTTTCGGTAAAATGGCTTTGGACATAAGATTAAAAACCACCTGATTTTTGTTGAAGTTAATGCGAAAAGTATCAAAATGAAATTCTTTTGTTTGTAGATCCTGCGAGTTGGTAGTGTTGTTTGCGAAATTAACAATAACAAGTCGATATTGGTTTCTCATAGCATAGAAACGTTTATAAAAACCAAAACCAAAATTAAAACATTCGAATTGTTACATTCTTATCGCTAAAATTATAAAAAAATGCAAAATGAACCAATTGTTAGGCTATTCGATCAAAATAAAAAATGTTTTAAAATCCGCAAGTTAAAAAAAAAAAACATTTTTGTTTAAAATTTCTTTTACATAATATAAATGTTGTAATAATAATTGTTTATTAAACTGTTATAAAAATAAATTTGTAAAAAATGTAAATGTAAAGTGTAAATGTAAAGTAAAAAAAACACAAAGATCAAGTTTACCCCTGGTTGAACAAAAATTTATATATCCCTATATCTCTTGAAATAAAACTTTTCAATGTATGTTTTTTATTTTTTATTTTAACACTTGACTGGTACTCTTTTAATTGTAATAAAAAAAAGTTTATTTTTTTTTTTTTGTTGCCGTTGGGACCAGTTACGTCTTACCACGTGACATAAAAATGAAAATTAAGTGACATCCGCCATTTTTGAAATCCTTATCATACAAAGAACTCAAGTAATAAAAAAGTTTATTTGTAGCATGTATGTGTACACAAAGGTACATAGTCTGCACTATATGATAATAAAAAAGGAAAAAAAAATACATCTCATATTAGTTTAGCTGTTTTTGGTTGCTTTTTGTGATATTGCAGTTGTTAAAAATATTTATTGATTTATTCAGGGAACTATAAATCATGTTCCAAAAAGCTAAAGCATTGACATTAATTTCGATAAAAAATCAAATAAAGATTTAAAAAAATTATTTATGGATAAAAAATGCTGTCTTCTAGTAAGTTATTAATAGCAGTATGTTTTAATAATAAAACTACGCATAATTCATTATCAACAATATACACAATAAGATAGATCAGCCTAGCTGTCTACCAACACAAACCATTGCAAAAATAACGTTGCAACGATAAAAAAACAAAAATAGAACATATAGCATAAAACGTTTTAGTAAAGTACACATTACATTATGTTAAATATTATCAGACAATATCACGTGTTTCCAAAAATAATTATACCACATAACCTAGCTCTAAAAACCACTTGTTTTTTTAACAAATAAGTGGTTTTTAGAGTTAGGTTGAAACAAATGTTTGTTGTTAGAAGACCGCATGGCTAATAAGGTTAAGTAACCTAATTCCTTTTTAAAGCAAAAGCTGATAGGGCTGCAGCCCCAGGTCCTTAAAAAAACATGACTTCTCCTACCGTTTTTTTTTCGGAGAGCAATTTAACTTTATTTTTTTGTATTTTTCTTAGTTTTATAAAATAAATATCTTAAGAGCTTGGGAAGCGTTGCAAATAAGTTTGAAGAGATATGATCATTCGTGTATTTTGTTTAAACAACAAGAGTTACAGGTTAGGTTTACAAAAAAAAGCATTAGTGTTGCATTTATTGTTAACAATGTAAAAGAAAGTTATAAAACTCTGTGTATAAAACGATAACGATCTTGTATTGATCGTTATCACGTGTTTAAAAATCTTGATCAAGCAAAGAAAGAATATCTTGCATGAACTCTACGTTTTCCAAGCGCATAAAAATAAAAAAATTAAAACAAAATAGCTAAAAAAAAAACATCTCAAAAGTATAGACATAAACCTCAAAAATTGTAAAAATTGGTTGCAGCGTGGATACATCAAATACAACAAGCAAAACAATGTCCAAAAAAACAATTTTTTAGAAGATGTTGACTAGGTTGACCATTTAAAATTACAATTTCTAAGGAGACCAAAACAAGTGATAAAGTAAAGTGATAAAGTTTTTGAAAAATTGTAAACCATTAAATTTGTAAACCCGTATATTGTAAAACTTAAATTTTAAAAACCTTCAGTTAATGTAATTTTATAAAATTTTGTAAATAAATATTATTTTATTAAAAAAAAAAAAAAAAAAAGATACAGTTAAAGTGATAAAGATAAATAAAATGAAAGTAAAAGAAATAAGCACTAGAAGAATCATTTATTGTCCAAAAATTTTTATTGTACGTTTAAAATATTTCAATAGGAAACTTGATCAAACTTTATTTAACAACTATTCTTTTAATAAAGATTTTGCTCTTTTTTTTTTTATATAAAATAGGTTTTTTAAATATTTTAGCATTTAGTTTGCATCCTTAAATAAATCATGAACATCAATCATAGATAAGTATTTATCAATAAAAAGATTTTATTTTAAAATGTTTTTAATGACTTTTTATAGAATAGATTAGTTTTTAAGAAAGTAAAACTTAAACAGTAAAATGGTTGTAAAATATTTAAAATAGTTTTTTATGTAACTTCATACATAAACTTTTTATTATATAACTTTTATTTATAAACACTTAATTATAATAATTATAATAATTTATAGATGTTTTACTTTTATATACAAAATGTATAATATATAAAAATGTATAGTCTACAAAACGGCTTGAGTTCCACATCAAGACACACTAAATTTCTTAAACAATAACTATGGGTTACGCATTTTTCTTAACTTATTTTTACATAGAGAAAAATTTCAAACAAAATTTTAGCTTAAACATGAAATGGTTTACAAAATATTATAAGTTTATTATTATTATTATTGTTTTTTTTTAATATATATATATATATATATATATATATATATATATATATATATATATATATATATATATATATATATATATATATATATATATATATATATATATATATATATATATATATATTTAAAATTTAACTGTTTTGAACTTATCTAAAGTTCAAAACAGTTAAATTTTATAATACAAAATTGGGGGTCGTATACTTCAACGGAATCCTAACTATGTTTTATTTGAATACTTTAGTTTACTTTTAAAATATTGAAATTAAGTTATTGAATAAAAGTTACATTTGTACTTAAAATATACAAAATAAATTGAATCGGAAAATCAACATAAACATATAATTTTTCTTTAGATGTTTTACTTTTATGCCTTTTTGTAATACTTGGTTGTATTAGTTATATAGTTTTTAATAAAAAAAAAAGCATTGTTTAATATGCTGGGTAATTTGATATAGAATTACCAGCATAAATTGCATAACAATTTTTTTTACTTAATTAACCCGACAGGCATTAGTTTTTAAAAGCTACGTTCTAAATGTATTTTAAATGTCTTTTAAACGTTTTTTGCGTAAGAATGTTTAGAAGACATTTAAAAGACACTTAAAATACATTTAGAACGTAACTTTTAAAAACAAATGCTCGTCGGGAATAGCTTTAATACTGAAAACAAATATTTAAAAACTCTTTTATTTTTTTAGGTTTAACAACAACAACTGTAACCACAACAGCTCAAGCTCAAACAAATAAAGGTCTTAAACAATTTTGTTTCATTTGATCAAAAAATTTATTCTATGCAGTAAATTATAACAATATTTGTAGTGATAAAGACCTGCATGATTTTAAATTACGTTTGCATTAGGTTTAAACTCTGTTTTCCTTCTGACGATGAAAATTTTTTCGTGTATAATCTTTGTTTTTTCCTCCTATTTTTTTGAAAATTATGTTTTACAATAGAAAGTTGTATGGAATTAATTTTTTTCTTATATTAAAATAATACTTAATTAAGTATACGAGTTCTAATAATATTAATAATAACTAATACTATGGAACTCCTAATACTTGTTTATACGTTTTCATTAAGGATGAGTTACCCTAAAACTCTAATAATATTAATCAATGATGTCGTACCACCCCCACCCCCCTGGTGTTTAAGAGGACCTTTTTGAAATTAAGGGTATATATTGAGGTTTTATAGCTTAAAGTAATTTTAAATAGATTTTGCTTTTACTGATGAGAAAAGTTTTTTACGAAAAAAGAGCCATCCACCCTAGATCAAAAATAAAATAAAAACCTTTACATCGTTATGTATGTCTTCTACATCAGATGTAAAAAAAAAGTGTAATATCTACCCAGGTACAAAAAGTATTTTCCGGGTGTATTTTTTACAAAAAAAAAAAACATCCTCCCGTAAGGTACAGAGGCTACGAACCATCCCCCCTAGGGGTAGAGGAAACGTTTTAAAGTTGTTTACTGACGCTATTATTTTTCTTTCACGTCTGAAATTTTCAACCCTCGTATTATTTCTGGTCGGCAGATTATTTTCTTAGCGCTTTAGCTTTTTGTAGGATTTTAGGGTTTAACAACTTTTTTTGTAGTAAGAGTTAGAGCGGTAGCTTGTTCAACGGTCGATTTATTTCGCTCTTATAGACGCTGAGCGCGTACAATAGTTGTTTAAAAAATTTGACTTTCTGAAGTTTCTCCAGCAAGTATATTGACGCGAAAAGTGTTTACTCCTACTTATCATATTATTGAGTATAATTCTGGCGTCCAGGTAGCTTCTTTACCATTTGACGAGTTTTTTTTTTTTTTTTTCAAATGTGTGCAATTTAACTTTCGCTCGAGGTTTAATGTTAAGAGCGTTGACTCTTAACATTAAACCTACGTTTTTGTAAAGCTGTTACATTACTTAAGTTTTTAAGCCAGTTGTAAGAGTTTTTCTTTGGATGGTCCTACAGCAGAAAGTACAGTATTACGCCCAACAGCATTAAAATCTTGTGAATGGCTTGAGTTGTTATTATAAACGAGATCTTGAAGAGTCATCAGAAATGACCAGAAATCCCAAAGCAAACTGTTTTATCCTTTCTGCTGTTCAATGGCCGTTGATGCAAGTCTTATAGGCGCGCAAAATACAGCAGAATCCTGTTGATCCTTGAAATTTGCATCTATATATGGTTGGTCATATAGCTTTTCCAGCTGTGTATAAAAAATATTTTGCCAAGGCCTAGTTCTTGTGCACTCTGGGCAGTTTTACAATAAGATCGTTTGTTGTATTATTTTGCAGCTGGTAAAATTTCTCGTCTTTAACTTCCATCAAGTGGTTAAAGTAGAATTTTTTTGTTGACAAATGAAGACAACACATTTGACAACAACAGCTGTCAAATGTGAAAAAATCCTGTTTAACACCGTATTTACAAATGACGGTTTTACCAATATGTGAATATGGCCAATAGTCAACGCAAGCTTTTATTGATTTTATTGCAGCAATATGGGGACATTATGCACGCCTATATGGAGACATATGCACGCCTGCTTTAAAGCAATTTTTAAATATTGCTCTTTGTAGTACAACAGCCACTTGCTTGATTTCTGGACGTAGCTTATTGCAAAGTTGCAACATTCTTTCTTGGTCCGCTGTATTATTAACAAATTTATTTACGCGAACACAGATGCGTTGTAGAAAAAAAGAGTTCCAAAGACTTGCTTGCCGGGTATTGTTTTCATCTAATAAATTTTTGAAGATAAGTGACAGCTGGCTTGGATTGCCCTCTATGTTAAAAGTAATTTAATGAGATTTTTTTTTCCGCAAATCATCGCAAAGCTCATGAAGAGTTGACTAACAAGAGCGTTCCACGGGCAAACAACTATACCTGAATGTTTTTGTTCAATGTGTTCAAGCCTTTTTTTAACAAAGTAAGCCTTACCAGCTCCAGGTAAAACTACTTCAAAGCCAATGGTCTTCGAAATAATGTGGTCTGAATTAAACTTAAATAATAAACTGATTATATTGTTGCTAGATTCAACACATTGCGTTGGCATTAACGCGTCTACTTTGGCCCAGTCGCTATTTTTGGTTGCTTTCTCGTTTGAAAGTATTGTTCTTTTGCTTACTGCTACTAGAATGGTTTGTAATACGGACGGAAAATTATCAATTTGAATGGTTTTGTTTTGACACTGTTATAAGGTATAATTTTGTCTAATGAAGTAAAGACTAGTATTTATATTATTTTAGCTTGAAAACTCGTTTATGCGCACAAAATATCAAGTTCAACGCATGGAGTGCCTTTTTCAAATATTTTGCTCAAAAGCAACGCTTTCTCAATAAACGCTCAAACCTTCAACTTGGTAAGCAAATCAGCTATGTGCAAGGTGCTCCTCAAAACTTACTTGACTTCTGGTTAATAATGCTTTAATTACAATTTTGTCACTACGAAGCTTAAGACTTACCTTAGGGCTGACTTAAACAATTTTGCTTACATTCAGCTCAAAGATAAACTGTGAACGAATTTATTTGACCTTTATCAAGTACATCCTGGTTAACTTCTAGAAGTCCATGACTTATTAAAATGGTTTTCATCACAGCCATTTGTCACAACATTGCTTATATCTCGTTACCCAAGTTGTATGTGCGCACTTAAAACTTGTTTGAATACGCATCATTCTGGCATGTATATTAGCCATTTTATCTTATTAAACATGCATTATAAAATAACGCTATAACACTTCAGATGCGTTTAAAAACGAGAATGCATTGCATATCCTACTGAATATCAAAGTCGTATTTGAAACTCTTTTAAATACACATAAAACACAATAATTAGATATTATTCAATACAATGTTTTCTTGGTATTAAAAGTGCATTCAAAACTTTTCAGAATACGTTTTGTTCACGAACGTATGTTAGCCATTTTACCAAGTAGAACACGTACCAGAAATATGTTTTAGACGTTTAGATTATTAGAAACATAACACGCGTCTGAAATGTTTTTTTCTTACATATACGCGCATATACATTGGCTCTACAAATAATAACAAAAAACTTATACATGAAAATTTTATTAAATTAACTTGTACACTGTTCAATATGTACATTATATTATAGTTTTTATAATATAATAAAAATACATGTTATATCAATTTTATAAAAACGAAACTGCACCAAAATCCTCTGTTAGTATATTATTAGAAGTAGTATTTATCTTGTATTATCTTACCTCTACAAGTATACTAATGTATTATATAAATGTATTTTTTCTTACATTTTGTTACCATTACTGTTTATACAAAACAACAAACAAGACAACAACAAGATATTTATTTTCCTCTAAATTCACAATCATCTAACTACATATTTATAAAATGTATATAAAATATATTAATAATAATATTTAAAAAAAATCAAAGTAACTACAATGTGGTGTTTGCATTATTAACTGTTGTTTTTAAGATTACCAACTATTCTTAAACATTAAAAAAAAAATAAAAAAAAACTTTCTATCAAAAAAGATCTTAACATATATAGTTTATTTTAAGAATTATAGATAACTATATTTAATTAAGTATAATAATAATATTAATAATAATGACATAAAAAAATAATAAACATAAATAAAATAAATAATAAAATTAAAAGTAATCTAATTTAATACAAGAAATAAAGCATAAACTGTAATTGTTGACAAAATGTATGTATGTATGTAAACGTGCTATGTGCGGTAAAATGTGATCACCATCAAAACTTACTATGATATACATTAGTGTTGCAATGCATTATCAAGGTATATTATGGGTATTAAATCTATTCATAGTCTATACTTATTCTATTTAGAACTTTTTCAGTTTAAGTTTGGTTAAAATAGCTAGGTATGATTAAAAAAGAGATAAAACTTGTTTTATTGCAAAATATATCTAAATATTACATATATTTACATATATTTAAATAAAATATACACAAATTTCTTCACTTTTCCACCACCTTTTTGAAATAGAGCGTAATTTAGAAATTTAAACAATGTTCCATTAACCAAGGTTTCTTTTGGTCCATTAAATACAACATAAGAAGCTGTAAATAAAAAAGTATATATAAAAAAAATCAAAAAGGAAAGATTTGAAAAAAATATGAATGGAAAAGTAATAAAACTTATGAAGGTCATCTCTTTTAACGCCATTTAGATTATGATGTTCTTAAGACATATTTTTTCACTTTCGCCTTTCATATTATTGGAGGCCATATAATTTTTTTGAAAATACTCTGAATTCTTAAAAGAAAATATAATTATTAGTTGGTTATTATTAATTTTTTCAAATATTTAATTTAAATGATACAACCTTTTTTCAAAATAAATTAATAATCAAAATATAAAATTTTTCTAGAATTGAAAAGAAGATTTCGGGGTGACCACATAAAACTATTATAAAAAAATTTTGTGTGGCCACTTATTATTGGTTTAAAGTTCATGTTTATACACTTATGGGGCTTGGACAGGGGTTAATAGTTTCATTTTTTATGTTAAATAGCATGCATTTGCTAAAGCAATTTTTTACAATTCCATGCACTTTAAGGCGTTAACCAATTGTGCAGACCGAGAATAGGTATTTGAACATTATACTTCCATTGAGAATTAAAAAAAGAGGAGTTAAAATAGCTTTGATCAAATCTTTACCTTTTTAGAGGATAATAGAGGATTTTAGAGGTGGTTTTTTAAAAAAGAGGACTTTAGAGGATTTTAGAGGAGCTGTGGTCACCCTGATTATAAATGAAGTAAGAGTCCAATACTGTTTTTCATTACCTCAGCACAGTTTTGTGTATCTTTAGAAGACGCTCCACCAATTAATTGTAATTGATTTATCTGTAAAAAACTTAAAGTAAATTTAATGCTATGTTTGGGGAGACAAACCACACAAGTGGAAACCTGGATTCAAATTTTGCATCCAGGTTTCCAATTTTTGATAACTGAACCTGTAAAATATAACTACTTATTTATAGTATAGTTTCCACAAAAAAAAATATATTTTAGGTATAAAAATTTAAATTCATATAATCTAACCACATAAATTAATACCTACTTGGTAAATAATCAGGAAATTCTCTTTTTATATGCTTTCTTTTTTGCAAATCAACATTCTAATTATTTCTAATTATCACATTTTTCTTTTGTAATTGTGAATTCAAAATTTTCACAACACTGTTTGCTTTCTGTGGAATAAAAATAGTTATTCGAGTAGTTATATATTTAAATTTAAATTCATTTTTATTATTATATTTATTACTCTATTATTCAGCAGAATTTTTGGCTCTAATATTTCCAAAAAAATTAAAACTAAAAGTAAGTAACCAATAATTTTAACTATAAATATCTATATAAAGGACAAGATATATTTATACAATACAGAAAAAAAATTAAATTCTTTTCTTGTATGTATGTATGTATGTATGTATGTCAGAATTAGGAAAAACAAGGTCAATACTCTTAGAGGTTGGCATTAGTTTGGCAAAAAAAATATATGACATAAAGGAGTCATCATAAAACAGAAACGAAGTCAGTAATTTTTTGACAACTTCAAAGTCTTTCAGGTCGGCAGTAAAGTTGGCGTTGCCGAATGCCGAACCCTTATCCCGAGGGTTTTATGTATAAATATATACATACATATGCACTGACCTCGTTTCTGTTTTATGATAACTCCTTTATGTAATATAATTTTTTTGCTAAACAAATGCCGACCACTAAGAGTATTGACCTCGTTTCTCCTAATTATGATAACTCTTTTATGTCATATACTTTTTTTGATACCTCTAAATAAGATTGATGAACTGCTAGACATAAGGTGCATTGATACTTTATCTAGATCTTTCATATTGGAACCTGTAAAATATCATTACTATTTTGTAGTAAAAATTATAATAACTCACTTATTTTTAAACAAAAATTTAACTTTTAATAAATCATATTTCAAGCAAATTAAATACTTGCCTACTTGGAAAATAATCTGGATGTTCTCTTTGTTTATTTATTTATTTATTTTTTTGAGAAAATCAACATCGTTATTTTTACTTTTTTCCTCAGTCGTTGTGAATTTAAAATTTTCACATTATTATTTGTCTTCTATAGAAATGAAATAGTTATAAATATAGCTTATTATTGAGATTTAAAAAAATAATTAAGAAATAGATGTTATACCTGAAAAGAACTTAAGTTTTTTTGGCGGAAACTTCAGCTAATTTTTCCCAGGATTTTGACGACACTTCATTGCATTCAAAGGTTTGGTACCTGGTGGCCAGTAAACTGTTTTGCCATCTACCTAATTAAAAGGGATTACCCCTTCCTCTTTTTGTAAATCCTCTTTCCAAACAGCTTTTTTCCACAAATATAATTTTAGTAATACCTTATAATAATTTTAACAAATAATATAATAAGGAAACCGTAATATAAAACTATTTGAAAGCATTATATTGAAGACAAAATACTTTAACATAAATAAATAATAATCATCAGAAATACAATACCAAAGTATTTTTCAAGATATCACACAACCTGAATGTTCTCTGATTACAAAAGAATATATGCTTAAAAAGAAACATATAACCTTTTTTTATATTTAATGTCTAATAGTAATACTATTACTTTGGTCTTGAAACTAATATACTAAAAGTTGTTTCTGCATCAAACAAAGATTATTTAGTTTTTATAAATGAAACAATAATTAATGATGTAAATGTCGATGGTTTTTTACCTTTATTTAGGTCTAAATTAATACTAATATCTTGGTGGTCAATACTAATAGCTCTGATCACCACACTTGCTTTTGACAGTAACTTATTTTGGAGTCTGAAGCAAAGTTCATTCAAAAGAACTTTGCTTCAGGCTTCAAGCTAAAACTCTTTTACACATCCACGTGAACAGCAGTACTCTACTGCCAATTTCACCAGTGTATAATTAACTGAAATATGTTTTTTTTAATTTCTTCTGAGAAAAACACAGAATCATAGTCATCACTTTGAGAAAAATAATAACAAAGATATTCTTCATATTTTTATTTTCTTCTACTTGATTGATTTTTTGACAAAACATCAATCAAGTAGAAGAAAACAAAAATTTATTTAAGATACTGGCGAAAATGCCACTCCTATGTTCTAGCTTTGGCAGAATCATTTTCTAGTAGTGAAGAAAAGAAACTGGAGAGAAATAATAAAAAAATCAAAATATACACAAAACTTTTGCATAAATTTTGATTTGTTTTTATTTTTTTATTTTTTTTTTGTCATTCATTTTTCTATTCATAGCCTATGACATAGGATTAAGAATATATAAAGATACTAAATAAAACGTTTTTGATAACTAAAAATTAAAAATTTCACACATTATACTAAAATATTATTTTAATTAATTTTAGATTTAACAGTTAGAGTATTATCTAATCAATAATATCAGCAATAATCAGTTAAAGTTTAACTTATTCTACTTTATGCACAAACTTAACGCATGGTTTTTTTATAATTGAATTTATTGTTCAACAATGATTTAAAGTTGAAATAACGTTAAAAAAACAACGTTTAAACCGTAACATTGATTTAACGTTGTGACATAGTTGGACAACGTTAAAACAACGTAATAATGCCGGCGTAAACGTTACATTGGTTTGACAAGGTTCTAACTGAAATTTTTTATATTAGGAGAATTTATATAAGAATATATAATGTAAGCATTATATATTCTTATATAAATAAAACATATATATATATATATATATATATATATATATATATATATATATATATATATATATATATATATATATGTATATATATATATATATATATATATATATATATATATATATATATATATATATATATATATATATATATATAAATACAACAAAATAAGTAATGGCTGGAGCAACAAGTAGGCATAATTCTGTCTTATCATCGAGCCCCATTTTTATAAAATCGTGATATATAAATATTATATTGGCGTATTAATTGCTAAAATGCTTACATTATCTTCAGTTGCAAAAAGAAAAAGAATACAGTTGTAGTTGCAAAAAATAAACGATTATATACTTATAATAAAATAAAATAAGTTGATAGAAAAAAGAGATATATACATATATTTATATTAATAAACTTTGTTATTGTGGGTTGTGATAATAACATTTTTTGGGAAAAAACTTTATTAGAGCTTTACTTTATTTAAAAAAGAAACATTCAAAATCTAGCATAGTGAGATCCATAAACGAAAACAACAGTTTAGATTCTTTTTTAAATCGAGAGTGCTTTTCTTTTTATTTGTAAAATTTGAAAATAAACTCAATAAATTTAGTATAAACTCAATTTTAAACTATATCTTGGGACAGCAGAGTTGTTTACTGAGAATCTTGTGCTATATTTATGGCAGATTTCACTAAAATAGGATTCAAATTTTTGGCGACATTTCTACCTTGGTTCTATTCATAAAAACTTAAATTTCATGTAAATTTATTTTATAAATATTTAAAGCTCCAAGTAAACACAATAAAGGCTTACAGGGTTCTGCTCTATTTGCTCTAAATATAATTCGAAATGCATGTTTTTGTTTACTGTAAAAAAAATTTAATAGTATATGATTTCCTTTTAGTGATTTAAAATTAAGAAATGGTTTAGCTCTCTAAAATATTCGTATATTTCTAGAAATTTTTTTTTTTCAAGACTGTTTGTATAAAAATTACATCTTATATTTTCGTCCAATTCAACGCCTAAAAAGTTTACCGATGATTCTCTTTTATTTATAGCTTTATTTATAATAAGGTTTGGTATTTTTAATGGGACGTTATCAGTTTTATTTAGTTTTTGAAACAAAATGAATTTATTTTTATCAGCATTCAGAGACAGTTTGTTACTGACAAAACACTCATTAACTTTTTCTAATTGTTCATTAACTTGTTTAAAAAGTGTATTAATATCTTTGTGTGAACAAAAATAAAACTGCAAACTGCAAATAAAACTAATGATTTTGTTTAGTAATACTCATGATTGTTTTTCATATAAAGACTTCTTTAATGTTGAAAAGTAACACACTTTATTCTATGACCGTGTTATTTTAAAACAAAACAGTAACTTATAAATTAACAAAATAGTAATTTATAATGTATTCATACTATAGATTTTTATGTATTCATACTATAGATACAACAACAAAATAGAAGTTTCGCTTATGTTTAACTAATTTTATTTTCTTTCAAAGCAGTTCTTGGTGGTACTTGCCCTAAAGGCTGGAGTAATAATGGAAACTATTGCTACTTTTTCTACAGTATAAATGTTACTCAACCTGGAAAAGATTGGTTGGATTCTCTTTTATGGTGTTTGAATAATGGAGGAAATTTGCTAAGTGTAGCTGATCAAGCAGAAAATTTATTTATTGTAAACAATCTTAAAAATGAGAAAATGAAAAATCAACATTTTTGGATCGGTAATTAGATTTTAATTTTTGAATTTTTAGATATTTTTTTTTTAAATGTTTTTAAAAATATATATTTTTTTTTATAAGGTCTCAATGCTCATCAGAGACTATTTGTGTGGTCTGACAATACAGCTTCTTTTTTTTCTAATTGGAGGCAGGGTCAGCCTGATAATCTATTAGGAAGAGAGAGCTGCGTGGAAACAAATTCTTATGGTTGGAATGACCACGTTTGTGATAGCCAATTTGGTTTTATTTGTAAGATAAAAAAAGGTAACAATCTTTTAAGTTTAAAACTCATTGTATTGTAGAACTTTTTAAGTTAAAAAAATTGAAAAATGTCTAGATGTTTTTTCAAAAGTTTTTCTAGTAAATTTATTAGTAAATGTGTAAGTGAAACGATTAGATTGACTGAATATAATTATTGAAAAAATTTTTTTTTGAATATAATTATTAAAAAAATTGAAAAATGTCTAGATGTTTTTTCAAAAGTTTTTCTAGTAAATTTATTAGTAAATGTGTAAGTGAAACGATTAGATTGACTGAATATAATTATTGAAATATAAATTTAAAATGGTAAATATAAAAGTTTTAAAACAAATAGTATCAATAAATAAACGCACGTAAAAGAAAAAACCTCGAAAAGTTTCAGTTTCAATTACCGCCTCTCAATCAGAAGAATATTGACTTTGAGGATAAGGCAAACATTTTCACTTGACAAATTAAAAAAAATTCTAATCAGTGATTGCTTCAAACTTTCTAGGCTGTGAATAAAGACTTAGTAATTATTCCATAAATTCTACTTAGATTATTAAAGCACCAAAGAGATCTTCTTGAATAAAACAAAAACTAAAAAAAAAAAGCATCTAAAAAAACAAAACTTTCATCAAATGAAAATATATATAAACTATAAAAATGTCTTTGAGAAGATTACAAAATATTTGAAAAGTGTTATTACTCAGATCTTATAATCATATCTCAAAACCACGTAAAGCGTACTTGGAAAATAATAAAAGAAACAACAGAAAAATAAAAAAGATGTTCAAACGTCCGGCCAAATATAATTAAGTTTTAGAATAAAACTATTTACACACCTTGAAAAATTATGAAGGATTTTTAATTTCTTCACAGAAATCGGAATCAAAAATTCTAATACTATTCCAACTACTGATACCTCATTTAAAAAATTAAAAAAAAAAACTAATTTAAATTTTAAAACTAAAAAATGATTTAAAAACAATCAATTAACTATAATATTTTTTAAGAATGTTTCTTGATGAAAAAGTTTCAAGGAAAACTTACACTGACTTTAAAGTTTCAAATTTTAAAAAAGGTACCAATGCTTTTAGCACTAAAGTTGCTAAAAGTATTGGTACTATAGTTGCTAAAAGTATTGGTACTAAAGTTGCTAAAGTTGTTGTACTATAGTTGTTAAAAGTAATGATACTAAAATTGCTAAAAGTACTGGTACTAAAGTTGCTAAAAGTATTGGCAATATCACTGCAAAAAGTATTGGTACTAAAGTTTCTAAAAGTATTGGTACTAAAGTTGCTAAAAGTATTGGTACTAAAGTTGCAAAAAGTATTGGTATACTCTTTAAAATAAGAAACTATTAAGACAATGAATTAAATGCAACTCTTCTACTCCTTTACTCATAGCTATACAAACTATGCAAATGTTGATTGAAATGTACAAGCAAAAGTTAGACTTCTTTATCATCGTCAGAATCACGCTATCCGTTTAGTATATTTAGAAACTCGTTTATTATATTAAAAAACACATTTAAAAACATATTTCCATATAAAATTTAAACAAAAAGATTGTTTTTAATCTTTATATTTTATAATTGAACATTCATAAATTCTTGAATAATAATAATTTATTTGTTTGTTGTCATAATTTATTTGTTTAAATTTCACTTCTTTAGCACTTTAGTGGTATAATCATGGGCTTATCTGAACAATCAAACTTTAAAGTAACATTCACTTATTTTTTTAACAAGAATTTTAACTTTAGCTAGAATGTACATCTTCATTAACAGTCCAATATTCTATGTCATGGTTATCAAGTCCTTGTAAAACTTTTTTAATCATGATTAGTTTGTTAATACAACGAATCATTTTCTGCTTTAAACGGTCAGATGGGATTTTTGGTTTTTTAAAATCTTTACCACTAATGAAAAAGTTAAATATTTTTCTTTGTAAAAGTAAAGGAATACAATTTTTATCAGTCAACTTGCTCAGATAAGTAATTGTATCATTTAAAAAACCTTTCCAATAAAGTTGATCATGAAGATGTAAAGGTTTTTTAAAGTTTTTACTATTTGTATTTCTTGGATTGATTATGTCAAATAATTTGTCAATAACTCGAATAAACGGGTTGTACTATTTGCTCTCAAGAATGATGGATGTTGAGATACCATTAAAAATTTAATTGCATCAGCAACAAAACTGCGAAGAGTTTGGCCAGCTATTTTTACATTCATGATTTGTCGATGAAGTTCTATATGAATTTCATTTAGAAATTCATCGACACAATATTTTTCCTTTTCTTCTCGTGATGCATTATGTTTTAAATCAATTACAACCACTTTTTCTTGTAATTCAATCCGTAAATGTTGAATAAAAGGATTTCATTACTCTTACCACTTCTTCTCGTTATGCAATCTGTTTCAAAATAAAATACTATCACTTTTTCTACTGATTCACTCTGTAAATGTTGAATTAAAAATACTTTTCCTACTTCTTCTCTTTTCATAACTCAAAATTTTTACTTTGAAATTTGATTTTTTTTTTTTTTTAATTAATAACATATACATATGTCTGTTTATGTAAAAACATTTAAATATATTTAACAGAACTTAATGACATAAAGAATATTCCATAATGTTATGCATGCGTACCAATATGTAATAATGTCAACATTGGCTAATATTGACTCTTTCATATAGAGCCAATATTGGCAAACAATATCTCGCCAATATTGGCATATCAATATTAATAAAACAATAATGGGATAATATTAGCGCAATATTGTTTGCCAATATTGGTAAGGCAATATTGGTGTAATACTGATTGAAAATATTAGCGCAATATCGGACATCTTGGCCAAGATTCGCCAAGATACTCAATATTGCGCCAGTACTGATTGCTACTAAGGGATCCTACTAAATTCCAAGCATATTTTTGCGTAGAGAATGATAATAAATAAAACAATAATGTACTTTAATTAATTTTTTCTTCAAAAAAAGTATAATTAATAATACAACAGTGCTCTTATTAATAGGATAAATAACACTTATAATATATAATACAACAAATCACTTATGCAAGAGTATTCCATACTGCATAGATACTTTAATTAAGAAAATTGTATTTTAAAACTTTAAAAAAAGAAAGTATATACGACGAACTATAATCAAAGTCATAAAAACTTTTAAGTAAACCTTTTTTAGGTGCTTACAAATCAAAACACAAATAACGAAAGTCAACTTTTTAATAAGTGATTAAACAATGCAATGTAAAACTGCACGCAGTTTAACTGTTCAAATATTTCTGTTTTAAATCAAGTCTTATCTCACTGATATCGTTAACAGATGTGTCAGTAGCCTTTTCAATAAAGCGTTTTACAAATAATTATTTTAAATTGATTGCACAGTAATTATGGTTTTTCTCAATTATTGGGGTATGTACTTTTCCTTAAACAACTAAAATTCAATATAATAAATAAATCTTAACCATAGTCTGTATAATATTATTATCAGGAATGTATATATTACCTATTATTCTAATATTTTTATTAAAGAACTTGTTATTACTAGCTCATTCACAAGATTTGCTATAATTAGTCAATTTTGACACAAATAACATATTTTAATATTTGTTTTCGCAACCACTAACAAGTTTTTGTTCTGTGTTCATCATGTTCGTCATATTTTGAAAACATATCAAATATAACCGAAAATTGCATTATATTAGACTAGCTCTATATTGTATTAGTAAATTTTTTAGTATTTTGAAAAATTTACAACTTTCTTACACTCAAATCATCAAAAATTGGTTAGATTTTTGCAAAACATAAAGTAGTCCTTCTTATCTTACATCACATTCCGTAATAAGGAAACTGTAGAACTGTTGGTGAAAGTATATTCGAGAACATATAAGAATAAGTATAAGGAAATTAACATAAATCAATATTTATAATCAATCATTGCATAAAATCAGTCAAAATAAATGTTAACTCATCTAACTCATAGAGACTATCTAATATTAACTCATAGAGAGTTTTTGTTTTAGTTTAGAGAGTTGCCATATATATATTGTTTGACTAATCAATATTTTATTTTTATAGTCATATATTTGACTATAAAAACAATTCATTTACTCATAGAGATTCATTTATTCATAGAATAACTAATATTAACTCAAAGAGAGTTAATATTGTTTGACTATAAAAACGATTTTTCCCATCGTAAGAGGCATTGATGCCATTTGTCGTATTTACCTCCAATGGCATTTAAATAAATATGAACTTCTTTAAATATTATCAAACAAATATATTATTTACTTATTAATTTAAATGAAATATTTATTTTACTATAAAAGTATATATGCTTTATTACTAGCTTTTATTTATTAAATTAATAGGTTTTGTTTATAGCAATTATAATTATTGCCTTATAACCTTGCTTTTAAGCTTTCTAAATAAACTTTTACCCTCTTGTGACAACTTTATTAAGGTTTGTTTTCTGTTTCTTTGTTTGTGAGTTCTTTACTACATCATAAATAAAAACTGAATACCTTACGAGTACAACATGCAAGCACGTTTAGTGACAGATATAATCAGAAACTGTGTTTTAGTTTCTGATTAAATCTGTCACTTTCTTTCTCATCCATGAGACATTTCTTATCTCCCACTTTCGCATCCATGAGACATTTAAGAATGTCCAACTTTATTGGATTTGATCATGTAAAATCTTGTCTGGTTTAAAGTGCCCAACTCCTTGAGATCAATGAGGCCACTAGAATTAAGAAGGATGTTTATATTGGTTTTTAAAATTGCAACTGTAACCCTCTTTCAACCATTAACTATTAAAAGTTAACCTTAATAAGCCAAAATTACTCCATTAAGAAACTGTTCAAGCATGGTATTATCATGATTTTGTTAAAGGCTCCAGTACTTAATTTAGAAAACTTAGTATTTCTTGTTTATGACGCAAACACTTTATACCTACACCGGACCTCATAAAAAAAAGCAAATCTTAAAACAACATTAACGCAACTAGATTTAATGATTTACAGTAATACTTATTTTAAGTTTTGTTAATTAAAAATAAAAAGTAACCCATCAATCCTTATAATATTTTGTTTTCCTGTTTGTTTTGTGTTTTTGATACTAGTTTTATACTGTGTAAGCAATTCTAAAATTACAAAACTATACAATTTTACAACAGAAATGTAATAACGGGGTCAAATATTCATTTAAATTGTTGTTGTTTTTTAGAGATTTATGGTAATGGTTGTTTAAATAAAAGCTTTGAATATGGCAGCAATTGCTACTTTTTTTATGGAAATGTAGCTCATGAAGGTGTAGATTGGCGAAAAGCTCATTACTTATGTAAAAACATGGGAGGAAATTTGTTAAGTGTAACAAACCAAGCAGAAAATTTATTCATATTAAACCAGCTTAAAAATGACAGTATGAAAAACCAGTACTTCTGGATTGGTAAGTTAATTGATTTTATTTCGCATACTTTTTTTATGCCTAATTTTATTTATTGCAAGACAATATTTATTAAGGTTTTAATGCTCTTAAAAGAACCTTTTCTTGGACTGATAATACAGCTCCACTTTTTTTAAATTGGAAGAATGGTGAACCTGATAATTTTAGTGGAAATGAGCTTTGTTCTGAAATAACTACTGATGGTTGGAATGATGTTAGTTGTGACAATCACTTTGGATTTATTTGTAAAACTAAGCAAGGTAATTATTTAAATCGGAATGTAGTATCTAAGAAACACTGTTTAAATTTAACAATTAATGCATGTATACAAATCTGTAACTTTTTTAAACAGAATTTATATATATATATATATATATATATATATATATATATATATATATATATATATATATATATATATATATATATATATATATATATATATATATATATATACGTGAAAACAACGTTTTGACAAAACGTTCGGATTTGGTCATTATCAGTTTAGATTGAAATCTGGATAAACGTTTAGAACAAACGTCTACAAAACGTCTATATTCAAACATATTTTAGACGTTCATTGAATTACTATACGTATATAAAGCGTTTAGATTATGACTATTTACGCTTAAATCTAGTCTAATTAACGTATATAAAGCGTTTAAGTTTAGTCTAAATAAACGTATAATAAACTTTTAGATCTTATCTAATAATTTTTTTGATTTAGTTAACTTAATTTTAAATTGTTTAAGTTTTTAAACTTAAATAAATTAAAAAACGTTATAACTTTTTAACTTTATACAAGTAATAAGAGTGATATAGGTTTTGAAGTTTAAAAATAAGATATAGTTGTAAAACACCAGTTTTTTTTTGTTTTTCTTTAATTTTTATAACTATTGTACTTTAAAAACTTTTAAATAAACTTTTTATTAAACTTTTATACTATACTACTTTTATTTTGTAAACTATGTATAAATTTATAAACTTATATAAAACGTTTTCATATAGTGGGATTTAGGGAAAAAATGTTGCTGCACTATACTTGTTTATGCTTCGATAATTAGAAAAAATTAAATGATCAATGAATTTAATCTCATTAACAGAAAACAAAAATAAACATTAAGATAAAATTAAAGATCACGAATAAAATTAATAAAATCATAAACATATGTTTTGGACCACTGTTTTCTCTAGTTTATGCATTATTAGAAATCTTCACAGTATACCGTCTACCGCTTGTTTATCATGTACCTGTTCTTGTGCAATACACATATGTTATGACATATAACACTACTAATATAATACAATAATACTTCTAGATTTTTCCCTTGATTGTCTGAATTCGTAACCTGATCTGTAGCCGCAAAAAACTATGGTAAAAAAGTAAGCATTTTAAATGTAAATTCATAAACTAAAATTTGAATTACTCAGAACAACTTATTAGATTAAGGATTTTTTGAATAGGATTTTTTAAAGTTTTCCCAAATTTAGCTAAAATGCATCTAAAATAAAAATATATATCTATTTAGTTACTAAACCTCTTGATTATAGCAAAGATGAATACCTACTGTTCCACAGTTATACAATCGTTAACAAAGTGATTTAAAATTTTTTATAATATTTACAATAGATCTTGCAGCTGGATTTTCATAACAAGAGACCAGCAACTAATCCCAGACAGCAAGCTTAAATTAGCCCAACGTTGAAAGTCGATGCTGGCCCAACGCAGGTTTAATCATTGGTTAGGGATTGGCCTAACGTTGTGTACAACATTGGTTCAATGTTGTATACAACATTGACCCAACATTGGCCCAACGTTATATATAACGTTAAGCCAATTTTGTAAACAACATTGGCCCAAAATTGTATACAACATTGGGCTAACGTTGTAAACAAAATTAGCTTAACGTTGTTTACAACATTTGCCCAATATCGTATGTTATACAATTATTATTTTTATATCGCCCTCACGTTTTATGCAACATTAGATCGTTGTTACAAATACGATTATTTACATTGCTACATTGAAAAATTATAGAGAAAAAAAAAAGAAAGTATGATACAAGCACAAAAATTTATTTATTTAACACAATTTCTCGGTTAAATATACATATTGCTAACACCAAACTTAAACAAAAAACTGACACATTGAATTTTAAATTAAAAAATTCACTATAAAATTTATAAAGTAGTTTTGATATTGGCTGAGCTACTTGTTATTGAACCGTGTTTAGCTTATGACATTTGGTACCAACTATTATTATTTCTTCTTCCGCTTTCTCTATCACATGTCTGCATAAGCCATGCTTATTTTGCAATTTACTTCACAGTTTCTGCAAAAAAAAAAAGTTGTTTGTTTAATTATGCGCCAAAGAAACATACCAAATTGAAAGTAATTCTGTAATGCAAAATTAAAACTAAAAAAATAAACTTTTCTAAACCACTTACTAATAGCAACATATGCAATTAACATTTTTCCAATTTTAATTTTTTGTCCTCTCCCTGCATAATTTAATTTTACAACTTGGCCATTTTAAAAAACAATTCTTAGTAAATAACATATACAATCTCCTTCGTCTTTAACTCCAATTTGTGCCAAATAATTAACCTGCAAAAATACACAACCTTGCAATAATTAAAGCAACTTTTGTTTAGACCTAAATTAATATAAAACGTCATATACCAAAATTCTTCAAATAGTATTTTATTTAAAGTATATAAATTGTACTACGATATCATGCAAAATGCATAAACAGATTATAAAAAAATATTTACCGTTTACTTAAATGTTTTCTTGTAATTTTTCTTCCAGAGTACTTGAATTCTTCGCTGCTTTCAATGGCAATGACGCTCTTTTTAAAGCAATATAATAATTAGCATACCTTTGTTACTCAAACTTTTTTAACTGTGTTTATTATATCAGCATATCTTTCAAGGATATAACTTTATCTTGAAACAATAAAGTTAATTATATTTTTAAGAAACTATACAACTAATTACATATTATATTTAGAGTTTATGAAAGTAAATACTAAATATTTATGAATTATGAAATTTGCAGGTGTGCATACAATTTCTGGCACTGACACAAAACGATTCTCGTTAATCTTTGAGATACAGATTGCACTGTAAAACAAAAGTTCATAATAAAACAATGTTTCTTCATCAGGGTTTGTAGCCAACCATTTATATAAAATTCAATGACTTTTTTGAAAAAATCAGATGAATTTCCGTGACCATTTTTAACAATGGTTTTTACAAAATGTTTAAAATTACTATCTATTGTAGGGGAAATGCTAAGATTATACATGCTTTGAATGACAAAACTTATACAACTTAGCTATTAGTTAAGTTGGATATTTGTATGGATCTTATTATACATGTTAGTATGGATCTTATTATTAAGGATGACTAAGAATGAAAACTAAGAAAACCATAAGTTTCAGAAAAAAGAAATAGGCAGCACCAAAAAAAAGTTTAATTAAGCGCTATATTTTGAAAATGTGAAAAGTCACAAAATGAAAATTTTACACGAGAGTGAAAAACATTTCACCTGAAAAAACTTTGTTTTTATTATATCTAAAATTAGTTTCTTTTAACTAAAACAATATTTTATCTTAAAATTTTATCTTTTCCTAAAAAAAAAGATTCTTTTTAAAATGACCTAACTTTTTTTCGCTGTCTTAATTTTTTGTCTCCAGAGCAAAAGTTTAGCATTTTGCTAAATTCAATCTTGTATTGCTATAAAAAATTCTATATCAAATTAGTAATATTTATATTAGAACTAATGTTAATGTAGAAGCTTAAAGTTGTTAACTGTAGTACGCAAACTAATTATAAAAAATATCCAGAGATATTAAATTAAAAAATAATAAAACCAAGAATAATGTCCCTCTGCCTCAGGAAAATGGAATGTATAAAGGGTTGTTTAGATTTAAATTAGACAAATAAAAATAATGATTTATATTGAGTTTTTTTATTTTAATTGTTTTTAATGATATTTTATTGATTCAATCTCATAATTCAATCAATTATTATAGACTAGTCATTTGTCTTACAACAAAATGTCTGGCAATATTAAAAAAGCTCTACATAAGCTGAGTATAAACTATAGTAACATCACTTTGTGTACACTGTTTTAATATGTTAGTAGATGTGGTTTCACAATTAAACACAAAAAAAATCAAACAAAAAAGACATACTTGTAAAATATTAAACTAACAATTTCAATGTCACATATATATTATTGATACCTTTAATAATATATCTTATAATAGCTATATAATCTAAACTATTATAAATAAATTATGAAAAAAATAATATTTTAATACTTATACTGTATTTCAAATGTTTGATATAATTAATAAAGAAGTCATTTAAAATGTCTTCTTTATTATTTCGAACATGAAGTTTTACATTTATTTAACAAAGATTATTAAACAAATCAAACATTTGAAATGCCAATACAGCAACAAGTATAAATAATAACTTTTAGATCTTACACAAAAATAATTTAATTATTGCCATTATTATTACATTAATAATTTAGATTGTAGTAAAAAATCTTTTAAGCATATTATTTAAACTTTAACATATATTTTATTATTTAAAAAAACAAAACATTAAGTCACGAGAATCTCTTGAAATTAATTTCTTATAAGGAACCTTTTAATATTCTTAGACGACTTATAAATATAGCTACTTTCTTTTATTTTTATAATTTAAAAAAAATGAAAGATAATATCAAAACCTTTTTTTTTCCTTTCAAACGATACCATTTTTAAAAATATTTTGCAACAAATTTAAAAATATATACTAATCCGTAACTACATTGGCCGAATATTGGCTACGGCATAAATGTAAGAACAGATTTTTATAACCAAAATATTAGGCCTAAACAACATTGGTCAAATTTTGGCTCAATGTAGCACGATAATTGCAAAAAACCGAATTGTAGAATTACAATATTACTCTAAAATAAAAATATTGGCCAAATGTTGACCCAAGATATAGATATTTCCAAGATATTTCCAAAAAACCAAGATATTTCCAAAATAACCAAGATATTTCCAAAAATCCGATTTGCAGAATTGAAAATAATACGTCGAAAAGAAACATTGGCTAAATTTTGGCCTAACGGAATAAACTTGCCAATGTTAAAACTTACGTTGGGCCAATATAAGCTTGCTGTCTTGGATATTTTTTAACTGTGTCAAAATAGCCATAAAAAATTCTAAAACATTGGAGTCCATTGATTTGT